CGCCTCCTGGGTTCAGGCAATTCTCCTGCCTCAGCCTCCTGAGTAGCCGGGATTACAGGCACGTGCCACCATGCCCAGCTAATTTTTTGTATTTTTAGTAGAGACGGGGTTTCACCATGTTGACCAGGATGGTCTCGATCTCTTGACCTCGTGATCCACCCGCCTCGGCCTCCCAAAGTGCTGGGATTACAGGCTTGAGCCACCGCGCCCGGCTAATTTTGTATTTTTAGTAGAGTCAGAGTTTCTCCATGTTGGTCAGGCTGGTCTCAAACTCCCGACCTCAGGTGATCCTCCTACCTCAGTCTCCTAAAGTGCTGGTATTATAGGTGTGAGCCACCATGCCAGCCATGCTTTTTCAGTATAAAAATATGACATGGTGATTGTTTTTTATTCTTGTTCATTGATTAGTTGGAGAAGTTTAGAAAGCTGTTACTTAAGTAGAGAATAGGAGGATGAGACATTGAGAACCTTTTGTGTTGCTTTATTAGGCATTTTCCTCTGAGGCAGAAGAGAAAACAATTAGTTCCATATTTCTCATTGACTTAAAAGGAAGCATGAGTATGTCTAGGAGAGCAACGTATTTTTCATGATCCAGTATTTTCTTTTTAACTTTTTTTTTTCTTTTTTTTTTTCTTTTTTATTTGAATTCCTTCCTCATGAATTTTATTTCTTTTTTTTAATGAGACGGGGTCTTGCTATGTTGCCCAGACTGGTGTTGAAACTCCTGAGCTCAAGCAGTTCTGCTTTGGCCTCCCAAAGTGCTGGGTTTAGAGGCATGAGCCACTGGGCCTAGCCAGATTCAGAATTTTAAGAGGAATTTTGGGCATGTGTAAGGTGCCTTGTCAAACAGCTTGACTGAGCATTTTAATTTAGGTTTTGCAGAATTTGTAGGAGTAACTTTTTTAGCCTGCCTCAGCCTCCCAAGTAGCTGGGATTACAGGAGGAGTAACTTTTTATTTTTCCTTTTCTTATTGGCCTTCAGTAGTAGAAGTGTTCAGTGTAAGGTGACCATGCTAATTTAGTTCATATCTAATTGCTTTCTGGCTGTCCAGCAAAATCCGTATAGGAGATAGTATATCTGCTTGTGTGTCACAAGTCGTGGTTGTTAACCATATATTCAAGAATGGACACTGACAAGTGCTAGAAACAGATCTTTTCTGGAAAGAATCTTTTAATAGAGGACAGCTGCTCCAGGTGAGCATCTTTGTCTGGAAATTAGTCTGGTTGAGTCTACATTTTCTCAAAGAACTCTGCATTTGCTTTGCTTTTTTTTTTTTTTTTTTTGAGATGAAGTCTCACTTTTCGGCCTAGGCTGGAGCGCAGTGACACGATCATGGCTCACTGCAGCCCCTGCCTCCCACGTTCAGGCAATTCTCCTGCCTCAGACTCCTGAGTAGCTGGGATTACAGGCGTGTGTCACCACTCCCACTAACTTTCGTATTTTTATTAGAGACAAGATATCACCATGTTGGTCAGGCTGGTCTTGAGCTCCTGACCTTGTGATCCACCCACCTCGGCCTTCCAAAGTGCTGGGATTACAGGTGTGAGCCACCAAGCCTAGCCGCTTAAATTTTTTAAAAGGTTTGTATTTTGGATTCTAGAACTCAGGGCCAAAGAATGAGCCTAGCAAAGCTGTTTAACTTCACAACTACTAGCTTTACTATTGAAATTTTAATTACTCCATAATAGGTGGGCCATGTAAACATTATAGATGATCTGTCAACTTCCTGTATGGCTGAACTCTTCACCTTTTGTTTCTTTGCTTCCCATTATTACTGAATATGGGGGTTTGTGTGTATGTGGGTCTTTTTTTTTTTGGGGTCCGATGGAGTTTCACTGTTGTTGCCCAGGCAATGCAATGGTGCGATCTTGCCTCACTGCAACCTCCGCCTCCTGGTTTCAAGCGCTTCTCCTGCCTCAGTCTCCTGAGTAGCTGGGATTACAGGAGCCCACCACCATGCCTGGTTTTTTTTTGTTTTGTTTTGTTTTGTTTGTTTGTTTGTTTGTTTTTTGTATTTTTACTAGAGTAGGGGTTTCACCATGTTGGCCAAGCTAGTCTTATAAACTCCTGATGTCAGGTGAACCACCCACCTCAGACTCCCTGTAATCCCTGGGATTACAGGTGTGCCCAGCCGTCTGGTTCCTGAAGTATAAGGCAAAAAAACAGGAAATCTGAAAATCGTATGGCTGATGTTCCGGAGATATAGCTTTAGATGAAACTTGCCAGTCTATGGAGTGGTCTTTTTAACCTGATTATCTACCATGATCAGGTTATTTTTTGTTTGTTTTTTGTTTTTGAGATGCTGTGTTGCCCTGTTGCCCAGGCTGGAATGTAGTGGTGTGATATCGGCTGACTGCAACCTCTGCCCCCCAGGTTCAAGCAGTTATCCTGCCTCAGCCTCCTGAGTAGCTGGGACTACAGGTGCATGCCACCACTCGTGGCTAACTTTTCTGTTTTAGTAGAGATGGGGTTTCACCATGTTGCCCAGGCTGGTCGAGAACTTCTGAGCGCAGGCAATCTGCCTGCCTGGGTCTCCCAAAGTGCTGGGATTATAGGCATGAGCCATTGCGCCCAGTCTATTTTTGCTTTTTTTTGTTTGTTTGTTTAATATTAGTAATCAGTTAACCATTGGGTCAATAAACTTCTAAAAATGTGAATGAGTTAATTCCAAATGCTTTCTAATTCAGGTAAAATAGCTATATTGATATTTAAATTTTGGTTTACAGTAGAAACAAAAATCTAGGGGCTATAAGGATTTTTATATAAGTAGGCCTTTAGAATTATAACTCTACTTTTATCCCTGTATTTAGAAAAGTATAGAGACGTGAATGGCTGAGGGAAAGGAATTCAGAATATAGCGGACATGCTAACAACAGACCGGGTGCTTTGTAATAAGGTGTGTTTTTATGCATTGAGTTTAGGTCTCAACAGGCAGGTGTTACATTTGAAATAACCCTGTATGCTTCAAGATAGGAGGTTTCAGTGCCAAGGTACTGGAGGGCCAGTTCAGTTAAAACCTTCAGAGAAGCAATTTATTATTTTTATTTGTTTGTTGAGACAGAGTCTTGCACTATCACACAGGCTGGAGTGCAGTGGTATCATCATAGTTCACTGCAGCCTTGAATTCCTGGGCTCAAGCGATCTTCCCACCTCAGCCTCTCTAGTAGCTGGGACTACAGGTGTGAGCTACCACACTCAGCTAATATTTTTATTTTTATTTATTTTTTTATTTTTTTTATTTTTTATTTTTTTATTTTTTATTTTTTATTTTTTATTTTTATTTTTATTTATTTTTTTTTTTTTT